GGGAGGGGACGAGGGAAGGGGGGAGGGGGAAACACGCCGAGGCGCACGGAATTGCAAGTTCAGCAAAGAAATGGGTGGGGGGGCTCCGGCGGGGAGACGCGGCTCACTCGGGTCGGGCTGCCTGGGATGCACCCCCCTCCCGGAAAAAAATCTCAACACCTCCCCCGCCTCCCAAAAAATACAAACGAAAATTCATCGAGCACCTCATTTTCCCTCAGATCGTCAGTTACAATCTGAAGACTGAACAGTTCAGTTTTTGCCGGGTTCAACCTTCGGAGGCACTTTGAAATTTATTCGAGTTTACATCTCCTCACTTCTTTCTTTCTCTGACTCTCGTTCCCTCTCCCTCACACATCTCCACACGGCAAAGCAAGTTTATACTAGGCTGCAAATACACGTGATGCAAAAAGACTTTGCCAAGACGAACAATATTTTTCTTTTCCGTATATAAACCAAGCCACATTTTGCTGGGGAGATTTTCATTTCAGTAGTTTTGCGTTGGGGGCGAAACCTTAATTGCATACTTTCTTTCCCCTCCCTTTTAAGCCACAGAATAGTATAGCTACAAACTTCGCCAAAAAGAAAAGGAAAAAAAAGGCAATTTTTGAGGGTGGATGTTGTTTTGTTTTTACACTTGTGAGTTCCTAGGCACGCTAAGTCCCCGTTCGCCAGCACTGTAAGTTTGTAATTCAACATTTACCATTCATTACAGGCCCTGCATACTCTTAAAACATACTTTTTTACATCACTTTTTAGGATAAAAATTAAGCTTCATAATTCTATCGTTTCATAATAACAAGCGTGCTTTATCCAGTATATGCAACACTAGCGATTTTAACGTGTTAAAATACATTCTACAAACCCCTTTATTACTATATGTGCGAGTACATACACAACATGCACACATTTTTTTTCCCATTGGCAATTATTTAATAGGTTTCTTTTGTTTTAATAAAACATTGGGATCGACATTTTAAAAATTAAATTCAATTACAAACAGTTTACTCTGACAGCAAATTGTAACGTTACCTTAAATGGCCACAAATATGCTCACAATATTCCAAGGAAAGTGACTTTAAAAAGAGAAACAAAAATCTTCTGCAAGTACTTAGTATCTCACATGTGTATCCCCCAAAAAAGTATTTTAACTGGTACTCAGTTCTGCTCCAGGGATATCCACAGAATACAAGATTATGCACCTGGCTGTGGTTTTTGCATTTTCCACCATAAAACTGCAACAAAATTCCCTCCCCCCAAAAAGAAATCATTAAAAAAAAAAAATCCAACAACTTTTTCTTATTGTTTATAAAAAATCAATACAGGATAGTTATAATTTTTCCTCAAACAAATCTTGTTGGTGGTGTTTTTTTTTTCTTCTCCTCTTATAAAGTCTTAAACTTGTTCCAAGTTTAGAGGTGTCTCATCATCATCAACCTCCTCCTCATCATCATCACCATTGACTCCCCCGTGGAGTCACATTGATAATAATAGGTTTCCCTGAAAGATACATTGTAATCCATTCACATCCGGGCATTGCGGGCTTATAAAGAGAAGGCGCTGCGGCCGTGGCTGCTCCTCCAGACAATGACTAGGGAGGGGCGGGGCGGGAGCGGGGTGACCATAGAGTGGTAAACAGAGAGCCTAGAGAGGCGCTCAAGATGGCGGCTAGTGCGGGCCACGCCTCCTCCGGAACTGGGGGCGGGTGTCGCGCTTGGGGCCAAAATGCAAGGACTCCCGAGGCTGGGGCCGTTAGCAGGCCCCGTGTTTTCTGCGTACTACTTCTTAGTTCCCCGTCCTTCGCCTTCCCTGTATACTCAAAAGTGAAGTTTCTAAGAATTAAACACAGACGTCCACCAGGGAGTCAGCTCCCCTGGCTCACCCTGAGGGAGGCTCAGCACAGGCCTCGCCCGCCCCACCAACGGAAAGCCGAGCCGGGTTCTCCCCCTGTGTGAAACTCCACCTCTTAGGGAGGCTTGGAAAAAGCCTCCTGGAGAAAGTCCCCTGAGCCAAGCTGTAGCTCCTGGGCTGAAGAGGGACGCGGGTCCTCTCCTCCTGACCACCCACACAGCCTTTTCTAGGCCCCTGGAAAAGTCAGAACTTTGCAGATCTGGAAAGCCTCCGCTTGGAAAAGACCCCCGAGAAGACCTTCATTTACTGCTTTGTGGACGCAAATTGAGTTTGTACATGAACTACTACTGAATCAGCTGCTCCTCCTTGCCAGACAATTACCGTCGAGAGCCTGTTTTCTAGTCTATAAAATGCAAATAACAATGCCCACTTTAAGAATGTCTAAGAATTAAAAGAATAAAGTTAAAGATGGAACCACCACTAAAATCATTCCTTTACATCTGTAATTCCTTGCTAAACCAACTGATAGCGCTAATCTAGTCCATGGGATTTTAAATGGAGGTTTTTCTGTTCCAGAAGTTTAGCTTTCGGTCCTCCCACCAGAGAAAAGCAAGTAATGATAATGATAGGTCACACTTCTATAGTGGGTTTACAACGCGCCAAACACCGTTCTAAGAATTTCACAAATATTGGCTGTTTTAATCTTGAGAAGGACTGTACGGAGTACGTGTTACTACTGTATTTTACATCTAGAAAATAAGAAGCAAGTAACTATGAACCTTGAGAAAGAATATACCTGCCAGGACGGACTTCTTATAATTAACTTGGCCCGAAATCTCTAGCAGCAGTTGCCCACAGAGGCCTCTCACACATTCTGCATGTCAGGGAAGGCCACACACTGACACGATAACCTCCTTCCTGCATTGTGCTCCCGCAGGGTGGGCCCAGCCTTATAAAGGACTTCCTGGTATCCTGTTTCAACCAATGGGCTGAGAGATGCCCCATCCAATCAGAATCATAGTTGTACCTTCATTTGCATTTTATTGACCAATCAGAGCAGCACCTGAGGAACAATTAGAGTGCCTATTCTAACCAATCAGACTCAAATTTGGATTCCTTATTTGCTTAAAAACGACCGATCAGGGACTAGTGTAGGGACTTTCTGTGTAAAAAGTGGGCTCCCTTTGTTTCCATGTAGTGCGCTTTTGGTTTCCTCCAGAAGCTGTGTTTCCCTAGTTTGCAAACTGTCCTTTTGAATAAAGTTTCTTGACTTTCTGCACCCCAGATTGGAGATCTGTTGACATTAAATTGGTGGCAGCGACCTTTCTTGACGTAATGTTGAGCAGCTCGACGCAGGGCAAGTTTAATAAGTAGGAAAAACTTACCTAAATTACACAGTTTTATATTAATAGAGCTCACCTTTGAAGCCAGTCCATCTATGATCAGAGTCAACATCCAGCCATATCCCTATACTATCTGGCAGCAAGGATGTCCTAATCTCCATTTTCTGATACAGTTTTGTGGCAGTGATAGAGTTGATCAATTTTCAAGATCTTTTGTTTATATGTGCGTTTTTTAGAGAACTAGAATTAGGGCTTTTATACTTTGTTTCCTGTCTATTCACACATTGGGAAGATTCCTGTCGTCTGTTTTCATTCCATGTTCTCATCTTAAAATAATATTTTTACATTTAGACACTACTTTATGCTGCATTATCAATCAAAAGCATAATTTCTGATTCTCAAAGTCTCTACAGGATGTACTGAGATGATGTAATAAAAAGAATCACAAATGTTTGTTTAGGAGAAATATTCCACTGGATCTACCTCTTTAATCAGCTCTGTGACCTAAGGCTTGATGTCAGTGTCTTTTACAGTAAAATGCAGAGGCTAGATAAAATAATCCCATAAAAGTCCTTCTACTTTCTAGGTTTTAAA